TATACTTGCGATGCGGTTAAATATAAATGTAGCAAAATTCTTCTCAATTTTTTAAAAATAATAATTTACTTGAAGCCTTTGAAATCTTGAAAATTCTCAACATAGTTCTATTCAACGCAGACCAACAAAATATGTTCAGATAATGGTACCCACAAAGCATGGTGTAAGCCTAGAACTACCCCGACATAACAATAATAGTAGCTACGACTTTCGTCACTTCGTGTGTACGTAGCCCCCACAAATAATCATATATTCATTTAGTCCACCTATGGAAAATTTTTCTCTTGCAAGGTTAGAAAAGAGACTTACCTCGCTTCAAGGTCTACTTTCCGGCCCAAGCTTAAGTCCAAGCCCTCAATTTGGTGTCGAACAATCCGAAACTATCCAAATAACGTAAAAACTAATCAATATACGCTCAAAAGTTCATATTCCCACTATTAGAGTGATTACCCAACCCATATTACAAGATTCCTAAAATTCACCCACATGCCCACATGCTCGGGTTCCGGAAATTTTTGAAGAAAGTTGTTACCCACAACCTTGGGATCAAGAATATATAATTTTTACTACATTCCATAACAAATTTCGTGGTTAAATCTCATTTTTATAATAAACCTAGGTTTTACTCTAAACCCATAATTTCCACTAATTTACATGTTGTAATCTACCCATAAACTATATATTAAACTCACATTAGGTAGAACTTACTTACCTCACCAAGCTAGGTTGAAATCTCCCCTTTTGAAGCTCCCAAATTGCTCAAAAATGTAATAAATGACCCCAAATATGCCTAAGTTCTGATTTTAAACTCACTGCCCAACTGCCCCCCTTCATCGCGATCGCGACAGGGGCCTCGTGTTCGCGAAGGCCATTGGCTCAGGACCTCTGAAGTCCCTTCATCACGAACGTGACAATGAACTCACGAGCGCGAAGAACAAAGCTGACCCGGCCCAGCTACCTACTCTACGTGAACGCGAGTCGCCTCACGCGAACGCGAAGGTCACTGGCCCAGACCTTTGCGAACACAGAGTAGCTATTGCAAACGCGAATTGCATTCCCCTCCAGCCCAACTCCTTCTACGCGAATGCGATGGTCCCTTCGCGTTCGCGAAGAAGGAAACCAGAACTGGGCAGAATCTGGTTCAATGCATTTAGCTCCGAGGGGTCCGAAACTCACCCGAGCCACTCGGGACCTCGTTCAAAGTCACTAACAGGTCTGTAATCATAATACAGATTTGCTCGAATTCTCGAATCCCGAAAACAACAACGAAACCAAGAATCATACCCCAAAACCAAATTGAATCAAACTTTGAACTCAAGTTCTTCAATTTACTTCCAATGCGACGAAACGTACTTATATTACTCGGAATGACACCAAATTTAACAATGGAAGGAAAGCAACTACCAAACAATTGGAACATCAACCACCTCAAATACTTCAGCTTCTGCGAGAAAATGTCCCCCAAGTCGTACTCTTTTTCCCTCACTTGAGTTTTGTCCCATTTGGGTTTTCTCAAGGAGGTTTTTATTGAGGCGGCAAAGGGAACACAACGACCTGAACTACGAGAGGGAGGAACTTGTTATTTTAATTTCTCGACTCCTCATTACTATCCATGTCCAACAATAAAGGGACTAGGTAGACTGGGACTAGGACTGGAACTCCAGCCAACACACAAAATCTATAACTCTCTCCAAGTATGTAACCAAAAAAACAATTTCAAAGTAACTAAGAAACTTACTTTTATCACATTTTTCACCTTTTTTTTGTATCAAGTCTATGTTCGACTTCGCTCGAAAAAACACCCATTGCCCTCAGTCGCGATTTAACGAAAAGGTTATGTTCGACCTTACTCGAACAAACGCTTGCTGGCCCTTGGCCGAAATTTAACGAAAAGGTTATGTTCGACCTCACTCGAACAAACACCTACCGCCCTCGGTCATGATTTAACGAAAAGGTTATGTTCGACCTTGCTCGAACAAATACCTACCAGCCCTCGATCGCAATTTAACAAAATGGTTATGTTCAATATCTCTCGAACAAACACCTACCGTCCCTCTACCATGATTTAACGAAAAGGTTATGTTCGACCTCGCTCGAACAAACACCTACCGGCCCTCGGCCACGATTTAACGATAATGTTACGTTCGACCTCGCTCGAACAAATACCTACCGGCCCTCGGTCGCAATTTAACAAAAAGGTTATGTTCGACCTCGCCCGAGCAAACACCATCGTCCNCCAGAACTGGGCAGAATCTGGTTCAATGCATTTAGCTCCGAGGGGTCCGAAACTCACCCGAGCCACTCGGGACCTCGTTCAAAGTCACTAACAGGTCTGTAATCATAATACAGATTTGCTCGAATTCTCGAATCCCGAAAACAACAACGAAACCAAGAATCATACCCCAAAACCAAATTGAATCAAACTTTGAACTCAAGTTCTTCAATTTACTTCCAATGCGACGAAACGTACTTATATTACTCGGAATGACACCAAATTTTGCGTGCAAGTCTCAAATGACGTTACGGAACTATTCCCGATCTCTGAATTCCGTCCGGACCTCGATATCATAAAAACCCGCTCCAAACCAAATTTAAAGAACTTCAAAATCCTTAAAGGACCAACTTTCCCAAAACGCTCCCGGGTCATCCAAAACCTGATCCGGACATACGCCCAAGTCCGAAATCATCATACGAACTTGTTGGAACCTTCAAATCCCGATTTTGAGGTCGTTTACTCAGAATGTTGACCGAAGTCAAACTTGGCCTTTTAAGCCAACCTTAAGGAACCAAGTGTTCCGATTTCAACCCAAACAGGTTCAACCCAGAAGGCATTGAGGGGGGATTCGATCCGTGGTCATCCATATGGATGACCACCCCAACTGGGCAACCCCAAAGGGTCAAAATAAGATTTTAAAATTCTATATTTTAGGACTTCCTACGTAATTTCCTTTATTAAATTATTTTTAAGAAATGGGTTAGTATCATAGTATTGTCCAAATTATCTTTTGCGATTAACAAAGATCCTTAATTTAGGACTCTTAGCGTATTGATATTTTAAATGGTAAGTTGTTTCTGTATATGCTCATATTTTTATTTCTTTTGTTGAGAAATGGTATATGTCAACATTGAACATCAATAATTTTCTATTTAATTCGGTTCTATCAAATAAATATCAATTTTTTTTTTTCTCTTAACAAATAAATCTCAAACTTCTTGCGGATTCTTAGCAGAAGTATAGGAATAACTTGTGAACGTCGTTGATGCTAACGTGGAAGTTATTAATATGTTACATGAGATGCTACATTTATTACTAAAATAAGAGAATGAGTTATTTAAGGTGATGCTTTAATTTATTTTAGATTTCAAAATATTAGGACATTTTACATAGTTCAAATAAGAAAATATTTAATAAGTAAAATATGAGTTGATTTAGAAGTCCTAATTATTAGGAGAAATTATTAGATTACGATTTGTCCCATGTGAAATTTATTTCTAGAGAGTAAAAAAGGCATACGATATTTCGTTAAGGGGCTTCGTACTTTTAATATAGTATATATATATATATATATATATATATATATATATATATATATATATATATATATATGTGTGTGTGTGTGTGTGTGTGTGTGTGTGTGTGTATTTCAAATTTTAATATTTTTTAAAATATGGTAGAATTGAGTTAATTAGATAAAAAAATCTCTCATTACATTAAATAATATATTTACCTTCTCATCAATTCCGTTTTTCTTCTTCTATGTATAGTCTTTTTTTATGTTTCTCATAATTTTACTTTCTATTTTCGACTCAAATTCTCTAAATTAGCTATTCGTTTCTGGCATATTTGGTTGATCCATACATCAAAGAGCAAGTTCTTTTGTGTCTCATCTTTTTAATTTAAGAAAGTCCTAAGCAAGTGTCGCAAGGTTCAAAACTCGATGAACAACGAACTCGTCCTTTTTTCATTTTCACTTAATATCATATTTTTGTATAGGGAAGAGTTCAATACCATGACTTATATAAGTCACACATCATGCGTTGCGCTCTCAATGCTAGATCAAAGCCATATGAGCTTTTTTATATCTCATTATTATGTGAATTTTATGAAAGAAGTTTAAGAATCTTTTAATATATTTTTACTTTAGGCCACCAGTTCCGTTGAGCCATTGCCCCATGAAAATTATGTTCTACTAGCTTTATTCACATTTGATAATTGAATGACTTATTCACTGCCTTTGATATTCTTTGTCATTGTTGTCTTGTCTTAACTGAAACTCTATAAATCTAATTGAGAACCTCAAAGGATAGATGGGTGGCTCAAGGGGGAGGCTATTAAAGCCTTGATTTAGGCCCTCAGAATTTGAGGCTCCAAAACAATTTTAGTAGTAAATTTTATGATTTTATTTTAATTTAGACAATATAAAAGTTTGCAGAAAAAATAAAAAGTACAAAAATCTTATAAAAAGAAAAGAAAGAAAAACTGTCTTTAACAATAATAACAAATATTTTTATTAGTATACATAAATTTTTACAACAATATCAAAAGTAATATATTGTAAATACATGTTTAACATCTTATTATTTAAATCATCCCTTACTAATATAAATAATATATATTAGCTTTATGTAATTTAAGAATATTATACTGTAAAATAAGAAGTAGGGGAAAAAAAGGCCAACACTAACTATTCTTGCAAGTATAAGGTCTTTTATAAAAATTTGACTTTAATTTCACTAATTCTATTGAAAGGCTCTTGGTGAGAGAAAACATGTATTGTTTACACATTTGGATATTACTGGAGTTGTCCAACAAATTAATTATTAATTAAATTATATTACGTGGTAATATGAAGTTTAGATTCTAGAACGTGGCCTTCTCTTCCGCAACTTTCTAAAACCTCTTTTTTCAATTTTGCCGGCAAACCATAGACTTCCCATTTTCCTCGCCAGCAAAAGACTTTCTACAACTCCATAGCCCTATGCACGATTCATTACAGCTTTCTCTTTTATAAACAAAAAACCTAATAAAACTCCTTGCATCACTTTCTCATTCTCTCTCACACTATCAAACAAGAATAATAGAAGCCACTTATTTTTAATAGTCTCATCTCTCTCCTCATGTTTTCTCTCTTTCAAAAAAAAGGAAACATTTCATTTAGTGGGGTTTGAGTTATTTGGATATTCATACACTATACTTTAAGCTTCTCATTTTTTGTTTGAAAATTATTCTTAGGATTCTACAAGAAAGATGACATGAAGGATCCCTGAGAGTTATTTTTTTTCTTTTGGAGTGATGCAATGTTTCTGTGGCTTGATTTTGTAAATTTTCTTTTTTTAAAAAGAAATATTTTGATTTTCTCTCCTTCTCTTTAAAGAAAAATGAAACACAGTGTCAATCGGGGAGTGAAAACCTAATTAAGGTTTTCGGGGTCATGATTGATACTGTGTTTGTTTAGATAAACATGTAAACAACGCCACTACTAGAATTTTGAGTTTATGTGTTCTGAATTTTAAGAAAAGGGAGCTTTTTGTGTTCTGAATAAATTATTTATACCTATTAAGCAAAAAATTTAATATAAATACAAAATTTGGATCCAAATTACTGGATTCGGCGAGAACTGTAGCTCCTGCATGTGAGTAGACTGTTCTTCTATTTCTTTTTTCTAAACAAAATGGAAAGGAATATTGGAGAGCCTATTGATGATTGGAATTCTCAAATTGTTGGAAATTTGGACTCAGAAACAATGTTAGATTCTCAAGAAAGTGATGCAAAAGTTGAAGAAAGAAGTGGAAATGCAGAAAATGGAAGTTTATTTCCCAATAATAATAATAAGCGCGGTAGCATTGCGGAGCGTCGGGCAGCAAAATGTGGTTTCAATGCTTCCACCATTAGTATAGCCCAGTTTAGGGTTACAAGTACAAGTACGCCGGAGATGTCGCCGCCAACGGCTCGGCCAACTTTTCTGACAATACCTCCGGGACTAACTCCGGCAGCATTGCTTGACTCTCCTATTATGCTTCCAAATTCACTGGTACTTAAATGGTCTCTCTAATTTTCTTTAAAAGTCTTTTCTAGCTTTTAGAAAATCTTGAATGTGAAATTGCATGATATTGTGATGGATTTATATAGTTACTTAAAGGTGCATGTCAGGTGATGTTTGTTAATCCAAAATTGAATTGTGATAATTAAGAGTTTAACTTTTATACATTAAAGGCGTAAAATAATTTTACTCCTAAGTACATATTAAGTAGAATAAGTAACTTGAAAAATAAAACATATTAAAAACACTATTAGTAAAAAAGAAATTTATACCGTCACAGTATATAAGTTATATCCTTGTAATAAAGTATTAAACTGTAAAATGAAAATCAAAATGAAATAAATAACCTTGTTGAGAAAAATACTATGGAAGCAATCCAAATCATTTGTATTTACTATATTTCTCCCAAGCAAATTTGTTGGAGACTTTTGTTTCTTCAATCATGTTTACGTTACGTGTATTCAAGATTTGCTAATTAGGGACAAATGAGAAAAGATTCTTCTAATTTCAGTTGTAAAAGCTGCTTGTAACACATCAGATTACAAAGTAGTTTCAGTTTATACTATTTTTAGCTCGACTCTTACGCTCCATTTGGAAACTAAGAAGCTGGTGGGGAAAAGAAAATTAAATCCAAAGAACTTGAATATTTAATCCATAAATTCAGGTTACAAACTGAGACTTAGGAAAAAGGAAATACTAATCACTTTGGCAAAATGCTCAAATCATGCAGTTGAGATTTTTCAGGTGAGACGTCCTTGTAAAATGCGATTGTTTAATCCATTGAAATAGTCCCCTATAGATATAGTGCTGGAAACTTGTTGAGAAAAAACATATTCGATTTGTTTAGCCAAAAGTAAACATAACTTATTGATGTTACGTTTATTTTCACTATGAGAAACTGTTTAATTAAGATGTTATTTTCTTGGTAATAGCAAATTAGTCAAATGAGAGCAAATCCACTTTTATTTGTTATGGATGGATAAATTGCTAAAAGATCTCGTCTTAACTATTTTGAGTGATTTCAGGAAATGTATGGTGGAGTTGCAACAACGTACACTAATAAATAAAACTGCAATTCCAGTGATCTTCAGAATTTCTTAAACACTTTAATTCTCAATTTGAAATTTTATTTCCAGCTTAATTATATATACTTGTTGTTATCTTCATAGGCACCACAATCTCCAACCACTGGAAGCTTTCACTTCTCCAATATCAATCAAGAAAACACAATGAAGACTACTCAGGTACCAACAATCTATATTAAGGCTAGTTTTGTATATACGCTATTTCTATTTATGTCAGAGCTAGGTATCTAAAGCTAGAAGCAAGATTCCAAGTAAAATATTCAAAGCTTTTGAGTAAGTAAGATGGATGAATTTAGAAGTAAGTGAAAGGACTAGTTGCATATATATATATATATATATATATATATATATAAAGTCCTTTCTTTTCAGAGAGTGAAATTAGGATTTTGAGATCGGTTCTAACGTCGAACATATTCAACAAACAAGAATTCTACCAATAACTTTTACTATTTGATTGACGTTTGAGATTTTTCTTATAATACTTACTAACTACATTAATAGAAGTCCATAAAAATACTTGGAAAACAGTTTTACTAATTATACTACATTTGGCCTTACTTGATTACTATCCTTTTTTTTTCAGAAGACGAATAGACAGGAACTAAAAAATTAAATATTATTCTTGTGCGTCCTACTGCCATATTTAGCTAGCTGGTGCCCTACTTTTATTTTCCTCTATAATTGTGGTTATTGGTTAATATGTTAATTAGTGAGCTTGCTGAGTAAGGACCTGCAATCATGAGAGTATAGGAAATTATCTGATTTGAATAATATTGGGGTTAGTGTAAATTCAGGGACGGCTCAAGAGGAAGCTAGGCTAATAAAGCTTTTGCCTTAGGCTTTCAAAATTTTGAGGCCTCAAAGGTTTTTAATATTTTCACTTATATAATATATATAAAATTATTTACATTAATAAGAATTAATTCAAGTTAATCAAATATTAGCAATATGTTCGCGATATCTTGGATGTTATTGTAAAAAAATTTATTTACTAATATAACAATTCAAATAGTTTAATTCAAAGTTTTACAAATTTTATACAGTTAAAAAGTAGGCAATAATCTTTCGTTCTTTCCTTTTTAGTAAAGATTTTATAATATTACTATGTGAGTGTTAAAAGGAAAAATGGAAACTCGCATCAGGTGTCCTATGTGATAAGAATATGCCACCAAGACTTAAAGGTAAGTTGTATAGAGTGGTTGTTAGACCAACTATGTTGTATTGGGCAAAGTGTTGGCCAGTCAGGAACTCACATGTTCAGAAGATGAAAATAGCGGAAATAAGGACGCTTAGATGGATGTGTGGACATACTGGAGAGATAAGATTAAGAACGAAGATATACTAGGCAAGGTGGGAGTGGTCTCCGTGGTGGACAAGATGCGAAAAGTGAGGCTGAGATGGATTGGGCATGTGAGGAGGAGGAGCACAGATACCCCCGTGAGGATGTGCGAGAGATTGGTAGTGATAGGTTTGAGGAAAGGTAGAGACCGAGAAAGAATTTGGGAGAGATGATTAGACAGAACATGACATATCTTCAGCTCATGAGGACATGACCGTAGATAGGAGAGCATGAAGGTCGAAGATTAGGGTAAAAGGTTAGCACATAGTTGAGCGATTTCTGTCTTTTCTACGAGAGAGCATGGTTCTAATCTAGAGCATCTTATTCGCCCCCTCTCCTCCTCCTCCTCCTCATCATTATTATTATTATTATTATTATTATTATTATTGTTGTTGTTGTTGTTGTTGTTGTTGTTGTTGTTGTTGTTGTTGTTATTACTATTATTATTCAGTTTTATTTATTGTTATTTCTTTTACTTTAGTCACCCTTACTATATATTTTTGTTGTCATGTTTTTCTTTTCTTCAGTATTTTTATCTTAGCTTTTTACACTTGCATTTTTCAAACTTATTTTGAAAACGCATTTCTTGAGCCAAGAGTCTATTAGAAATAGTCTCTCTACCTTACATAAGATAGGGGTAAGGTTTGTATAACTACACAGTTGAACATGTGTAGGTACTCAAATATTTACCTGCAATCACTATGAGACACTGATTTAAGATGTGTTGCATCACTTACTATATTAAATTGGATCACTCTTGATTGATTATAGTGTTGCATGGAGTAATTTGACTGATATAATATCTTGCTATTTCATTTCTCAAACTTCAATATATATTTCCTCTGAATGCAGATAGCAAGAGATCATTTTGAATTCCCAGTGGAATCTCCAAAAGCGACTGCCTTAAAGAACTGCAGCCTAGAAACAAATGTTGGACAAAACATGAGCTGCATTGGCTTAACAAATATTCATGAGTCAGGAAATTGCACCAGAAGAGCAAACCAATATGAGCAAAGAAGTGCAGTGGCTGGTAATAATATTACTCCTAACGGTTCAGATGATGGATACACTTGGAGAAAATATGGGCAGAAACATGTAAAAGGGAGTGAATTTCCAAGGAGTTATTACAAATGTACTCAACAAAATTGCCCTGTTAAGAAAAAAGTTGAACGTTCTACGGATGGACAGATAACAGAAATTGTGTACAAAGGTGCACATAATCATCATAAATCTCAACCTCCTCGACGTGCAACGATGAGTTCAACTGCCTATGGTTTGGGAGAAATGAGTGAAGGAAATATTGGTGGATCGAATAGTTGGACAAGTGTACAATTCGGAAGAAATAAGGATGCTAGAGCTCCTTCAGGTCTGGACAGAACATCCTCTGCATCTGTTTTGACAGAGGCTTCTGATCCATTAATGTTAAATTATCAAAAGACCAATATGAATGCGTTTGAATCAGCTACTCCTGAGCCTTCTTCTACACTTGCTAGTCGTGATGATGAAGACGAAGATAGAGCTACTGAAGGGAGCACTTCACTTGGTGATGATGTTGATGATTATGCATTTGACCATAAAAGAAGGTATTCTTATCTGTTATAATCGATAACTTGCTATTTTTATATTACTAAACCCGTTGTTTGTGTACATGTTTTTCTGTGTGGCTATGTGCTGCTGCTAAGCTGTTATCTGGCCTTAGGAGGAGAGAATTTTACTCAACTGAAACGAGTTTATCGTTGAGGACAGCAAGAGAACCAAGAGTAGTTGTCCAGATAGAGAGCGAGATCGATATTCTTGATGATGGCTATCGCTGGAGAAAATATGGCCAAAAAGTTGTTAAGGGAAATCCAAATCCCAGGTATCTATTTTTGGACAAACACAGTTATGCTTAGTTTTAGTCCCTTGAGGTAAACTCTAATATGAGTCTGTCTTTTTTAACTAAATTTGTTCAATTCTTTTATCTAGTATTTTAAGAAACTTTTTAAATAGTATCAGCAATTAATAGCAAGTCAGTTACCATTTTTAATAGATTATCAGCTAATACTTTATTATAACACTATTATCATAAAACTTAAACTCATATTTTTTCTTATATAGGAGCTATTACAAATGCACAAGTGCAGGATGTCCAGTAAGAAAGCATGTGGAAAGGGCTCCAGATAACCTAAAATCAGTCATCACAACATATGAAGGAAAACATAACCATGAAGTTCCTTCTACAAACAAGACAAACTGTGCTATTTCTGGAAATCAAGCTTTAACTTCTACTTCAAAACCCCATAAAGTTTCCAATTCAGGAATGCAGGTTCAAGATTGTAACTTCCAATTCAATAAAAAGCCCTTTGATTATGTAAGGCCAAGTTTTGTTGACTTAAGATTTGGAGCTGCTTCATCTATATATGACTTGAAATTCCCAACTAATTTACACAACCCTTTGTCCTACGCTTCTTTCCTTTTGAGCCCGAATCCTTTGCAGATGCCTGAATTCCCATTGCCAATGAGTCTTCCCTTTGGCCCTAATATTGTGCCTCCTCTTGGTGGATTTCATTTTAATGATCTTCCATTAACACCAAATGGTGTGTTTTCTATTGCTGGTGAGGATGAAAAGTATATTCACGACAACAACAACAACAATAACAAAAGTTCGAGACTAGTCAAAGGCAATGAAGATATCAAGAATGAAAATTTGTGTGATCATCAAGATGGAGCATCATCTGCAGTATTTTGTGGCCAAATTATGGACAATTTTCCATCTTAAAAGAGCTTAATTGACACTGGTCTTTGTTTTTCTAGGCTCTCTAAAGAGATAGCATGTTACAAAAAAAAGGGATGAGTGGGTGGTCTTCAACATATTTTCATATTTTTTGCTAGATTATCTGATCTTTAGTTTCAGATCATCATCCTTTTTTATTTCATGGAACTACCTGTAAAAATCTTTTTTCCAATTTTCATGTTTTTAAGGAAGTTCTTTGAGCAAACTGCAAAAAAAGAGGATTTTTTTTTTTTTTTTTTTTTGCTTCTCCTTTTGTCGGAAGTTACCGGCCTTCCCCAAGAAGAAAAGAATCTATATCTTCTATATATTATTAAAAGGAGAAGAAAAAGGCAGCATATTAAGCCAAGTGACATAGCCACAATTAGCCAAGCGACACTTCTTTAGGACAAAGCTCCAAAAATTTTGGAGTTTGAAAATATTATTATATATAAAAAAAAGTCTAAAACAAATAATAACAAAATAGAGAAAAACCTAATTTAATCCTCTAAATCACGTACCCACTTCTTTTTTTTGGTAATTAACTTCTTTTGTATTAATCACCAAAGATCAGTCTTTACAAATCCATAGTCCCGCATAAAACTCTGCTGACTATCTCATCACAACTGGGATCAACATCTTCAATGGATTCCACTTCCCATCCCCCCATTTCGCTTGCACGTCCACACAACCACCTGCAACTGAAATACAGGACATTACACGGTAAAAAAATGAGAGAGATCAAATATTAAATAACTGTCATCTTTATAAACACGTCTACAATGAACCCGGATTTTTACCAGTAGTAGTCTCTCTCTCCCCCCCTCTCTCTCTCTCTATATATATATACATATATATATATATNATATATATATATATAAAACCCATCATATTAAGTTAATTGGCATAACAACTGTAAATTTTTAGGACAAAGCTCCACTTCAAATTTATTTGGTAAAATTAAGTAAATAAATAATATTAAAAATATTATTGAAAGAGAAAACATACCACAAACCAGATCATGTAACTAAAATCTTAATATATTAACCCAAAAACCAAAATACAATAATGAAAGTTTCTGAAGAAATAACGAAGAATTAATTTAAAATATAATTTCTCAGGTAAGTTATTAAGAAATTAAAACCCAAACTTTGAAAAGTCATTAATTACTAATGAGACATAATACTAAAAAGACAATCATGAAATATTAATAGATTTTACGACAAATGTGTTAAAGAACTTCTCTATTCTCTACACTGATTAAAAGTTATATTTAAAATAAAACATGAAAAATATTAAAATATTTTAGTATAAAATACAAACGTTAAGACTTATCTTAATTTGAGTTGAAAATATCTTTTGATTATGATAATAAAGGTCATAATAACTAAAATCATAATAAACAAATAGTATTAATAGGAAGAATAATAATAAAAAATAATCCCAGACCCCATGGTGTGGGATAAGACTGGATATGTTGTTGTTATTGTAATAACAAAAAATAAAGAATTTCAATAATAGCGTAAAAAAATATATATATACTAATTAAATTTTTCATGTAAAAAATTTTAGTTAATAAATATAACTCATAGTTTTATAATAAAAAATACAAAAATATGAAGATACTATTAGGATATTATACAAGCGATACGTATATTATATATTTATATATATAAGAAATTAAAAAGTATTAAAAATTTTGGTAGGTTTTTTATAAAAACAAAAAAAAAGGCTTATCTCTTTATAGTTTTGATGAATTCAAAATTATAATTTAGTTATTTAAATTTTGAATAAAATACTTCAAATATTACAGTACAAAAGAATGTACAAAAAGAGGGCGATAAAGATAATTTTATGATATTTTTATTTTGAATTAATTAATAAAAAATATAAATATAAAACTCAAAAAAATTATTGATAAATTTGGACAATTGAAGAATTTTGAACAGTATAATATAAGTTTTGAAAATACAAATATTTCCAAGGTTAGAAAGGATATTTTTTTTTCTTTATATTAAAAGAGAAATAGTATCAAAATATTAAGCCAATTTACAAGTTTATAAAAAGTCATATTAGTAAATGTATAGTACTAAATACTTACTATATTTTTGTACACTACATTAAATAATAATAACAACTAATATTTACTGAAATAATATAATATATTAGATCATAATTTTGTAAGATTAATATTCTGCTAAATTATCCGCGCATCGCGCGCACTAGTAGTATTCAAAAAGAAAAAAGAAAGCTCTCAGCTCAAATTTCTTTTTTCATATGAAAAATAAATTAATATTGGTGGTTCTCAACCATTAAATTCAACGACGACCGAGATTTCATGTTTCAGGATTCACTTGCATTGTCATTAACTCCTATTGTAGCAAAGACAAATTTATAAATAAGTTTTTCAGTCCATGAACTATCAAATGGTTCAAACTAAGCAAGATGTCAATATAACTTACGTAGGATAAATTTCACAAATAGTTATATAACTATGACTTTTTACACCAAAGTCATTTAACTTTATTTTCTCACACAAAAATTATAAACTTTCACTAACTCATACAAAAATCATAATGATAGAAAAATTCAATTTTCTAGTAGTATTTCTTTATTCCACGTTTTTTTATTTTTTTACTTTTAGTCTAATAATTAATAACCCAATTAAAATAGGAGAAATATATATTTTTAGCCGCTCTAAAAAATAATAGTTGACAATATATATATATATATATATATATATATATATATATATATATATATAT